CTGGCACTCTGAGATGTTGTTAGTGTAGGTGTAAAATGGCATCAGCAGTTGGGAAAGCTGTTTTGACTGTATCTGTTTAAGTTAATCTTTCATATACAATATGACTCAGCACCTCCACTTCTGAGTATATGCCCCAAAGAAAGGAGTGCTTAATTATATGACCATAATGGTCACATTCCCAAAAGCTTTAATAATAAGCCTGGGCTAGAAACAACCTGAATACCTATCAACAATAGAACAGATAAGCTGCACTTGTATTACTGCATTACGCTGTTTCCATGCCCTTCTGTGTGGAGCCAGCCTCTGAACTGAAACCTCTGAAGCTATAAGCCAAAATTAACATGTTCCCACCAGCTTGACCACAAGTGATACAGTGTGTGACTGTCCTGTTGGACAACAGGGCAGTCCCATTGGGTACTACAAGGTACTCAATGGGATAGTCATTATCTAACTATCTAACTGGTGGTTCATGTTGGTGAGAATGTGTTATTTTTGGCTCACACTTTCACAGGTTTCAGTCCAGAGGCTCTACACAGAATGACATGGGAATGGCATGGGAGAGCAAAGCTGTTCACTTATGACAGCTGGAAAGTAGAGCACAGGGCAAGAGTGCCAGCAAGAGACGTGCCCTCCCAGTGACTCATCTCCTCCAACTGGGCCCTGCCTCCTAATAGCCCATATAGGTATGAATATCAGTGGATTAATCCACCACTGAGTGCAGTGCCCTGATGATCCACACACCTCTCTAGAAATCTCTTGGTCTAGTCACAGTGACAGTTGAGATTAACTGGTGCAGCAGTATCTTTAAATATACACTCAGATAGTACTACACAGCAAATTAAAATGTTATTTGTAGCAACACTGGTGAATTTTACAGGTAATACTGAAGGAAACTTGACATAGGTATGTACTTTAGGATTCCATTTATATGACACTGAAGAACAAGAAAAACTAATTGGTGATGTCGAGGTCAGAATAGTAGTTGCCTTAAGAGGCAGATATTGACTAAGAGGGAGCATGAATCGGTTTTCTGGGATTTGGGGAAATGTTTTGATGGTATTTACATGATACACCACAAACTTTTTGCATACTTAATATATTTTGCATTTTATTGTACGGAGGTACCTCAATGAAAAATAAGTTTAATTCTATAAAATTGGGGACATTGTGAATCATCTTCATTCTCGAATGCTGTCCAGTTATAGAATCTTTTCTTTCTCAAACTTTGTTCATAGAAGAAGAGTGTGACACTTGTAGATATTAAGTGATATGCTCATATGATCAGTAATTAGGAGGCCTTGAAGGAAAAAAGGACCAGTGTCTTAGGATTCTAAACTTACTGCTGACTCTAGGTCACTGGTTTTTTGTTTTTTTTAGGAATAGTATTCGCTATACTTTTATGACACCATAAATGCATAGATTTCATTCTTTTTAGTTACATAATTTATTTGAAAAAATAGCATATTTGATGAGTAGACATTAAAATTTGTAATCATTAATGTTTCATTTCAAATAATAGATTTAAACTTTGTTTTCTGTCCATTTTTCACCAACTAATTTCTCTTAGATTTAGAAATCTCAGATTAACTCTTAAGTCCTTAGAGTGAAAATGTCAGTATGAATGATTGGAATTTATGTTTCTTATAACAATCCTATTTTTTAATTTTTTTAGGAGCTCAGATATTTAGTGTTATAGTACAGTTCATATTTACAATTCTATTAGCTTCCTGAGTAGAAAAAATAAGTACAATTATTTAAAATATAAAGAATCACAGAATGTAAAATTGTGTACTTTCCATGGTGTTTAAGAACTTTACTGTCTTACCTCGATATCTCCCATATATGTTTCTTTACATTCTGTTATTTTACCTCAGCTTCAGAGAGATTAACTCCGCCTTAAACTTGCTTTTCCTTTGCCTCACTTTACATTTTTGGCTACATGTGGTTGTATCACCACACAACATTTTATATTGCTTAGACTCTTAATCTTCATGCTTCGGACTTGTTTTTTCACTCAACATTGTGAATCTGAGATTCATCTATCATTATTACAGATAGCTGGTAATTGATATTCAGTTGTGTTTTGTATTCCTATGAATGTGTACTGATTTATGTGTTTTGATAGTGAACATTTGGATTGTTTTCAGGTGTTCATTAGAAGCAATGCTGATAAGAACATTTACATATAACACTGATAATATAACTTAGGAAGAGGAAATACTGGGTTTCAGAGGAAGTCAGACTTATTTCCATGTAATAGAATAAGGTGTATTTCTTCTCATTCCTATAGGGAAATCTTAAATAGGACTGAGCCAGTGTAGACAATCTTGTCTTTTCATACAGATCTAATAATTTATTCTTTATATTTGAAATACCATATGCTAATACAGTGTTAGTCTGTATGACCATTAGAACAGAGGTCAATGATGCTGTGTAACTATATTAAAGTCTCTTTTTAAAGAGAGACTAGTAAAAGAAGCCCTGAGAGCTTTATTGTTTTCACAGCCTGGAAGCTGTCACCGAGTCCTTAAAGTGAAGTGTGACATTGTGTAGTGATGCTGTAATGGACAAAGAAGTACATAACAGAATCAAGGATGTCCTTTGCGAAGTTGAGAGTCTCTTACAGATGTAGTATCAGACTGCAGTAAGATGGAACTGAAGACTTACAAAGCACATGCACACTTCCTGTGAGACATAGGACTTGACACAAATGGCACATCTGATTTCTTCAGCAGTTGCATTCAGACCATTTATGAGCCCATCAGAGTATTGAGTGGCAGGACAAGGTCAGCAGCAGCAAACACATGGAAGGCAGCCTGTGTACTAACTTTGAAATAGTTCTACAACACAATTTTACTGAGCTGAAAGTGTGTGCAAAATGGACTACAGCAGGGCTCCTAAGTGACTTTTAAATAGCAAGCTGAGGTGAGGACAGCACAAGCTGAGGAAACAGGGCTGTCTCAACATTCACTGCAATGCATGCATAAGCTGTGAGGCCTAAGGGGTAAGCCTAGCAGCTGCTGAACAACCTGACATGTAGTGTAAGGACTGGGCTTGCTGCTGGTGAGCGTAGACTTAAGGCTGGTTATGTAGTCCAAAAAAGCAGGACTACAAATGATGTTAGGCTGTTTAAATAGCAGGCACAGCTGCTAACAAAAGGACAAACAATGTGTATTCTGTGTGGAAAAGATTGTTAATCTCATTTTTGTCTTTTGCCATAATCATGAGTCAAATTGAGAAAATAAATTTTCACACACACACAAAAGTCAAGTTGCACTCCACTACTTTCTACTTCTTACAAAACAAAAAATTCAGTTTTTTAAAAATAATGGTTGCATTGAAATGCTAGAAATAGAGCAGTTTATAAGATTTTTTGTTCTTTGCCAGTCTCATTACATTTTTATATTATTGACAGAATACTTAAAAGACTAATAATGCCTTACAGCCAATAATGTAATAACTTTTAAAAATTCAAAGTGCTTTGTTGCTTTTATTATACACTAATCTCTAGTTCCTTTCCTGTGGATTTCTTCCACAAGATTGCTTATTTATTTTTGTCTTTCCCAGGGCCACACAGTGGAGGATATATACTTACTAAAGGTTGTTCAATAGGTGTTTAACTGAACTCCAAGGATTAAGATGTTACTTATGGTTACTTGACAGGGTACAGCTTTCACTTGCCATTCTTATCTTTATGGTTTCACGTAGTAGTCTGATTCCAGCCATCTGAATATGCCATTTTGTACTTGCATATCTGTCTGTCCCTCTCCCTCCCTTTCCCCCCTCCCCCTCTCTTCTCGCTGTCTCTCTTTTTCTTTCCCTCCCTCCATCCCTCCCTTCCTTCCCCCATTTTTTGTTCCAAATTCACAACCTTTATGACTTTTCTTTTATAATTCATTGAATTATGAACTATGTTACCTTTTTGTTATTAGGAGTAAAATTCTGATGAGCTAGGTGAATTAACTCATTAATGCCAGAAGTTGCAGTTTTCTTAACTTTTTGCAAGAAATTCATATTATGTTACATAGGACAATTCAAGTAGCAAGAATTTGAAGAGAAAAAATTTTACTATGTTCCATTGTTTGTGGTGTTCCAAAAATGAAACCCTAGGCATAAATGGGTTAAAGGCATGTGGCTGGGAAACGGCTAATAAATACCACAAAGGAGTGAAAAGGCAATGTGCATACGGGATCTGACATCTGGCAGGTAAGCACAGCCATCAAGAGAGAAGGGGTAAGAATACAGAAGAGACAGTTCAAGAAAGAACAACTAAGATTAGACACAAAGTGATAAAAAGTCCCTCACCTAAACCCAAAGAGACAACTAAATTGTGTTCTGACAAATCTTAAAACTTCACTGTTTGAAGGAGACATGTTTTATATGAAACAAAATATGTCTTTATGCATAAACTTTATATTTATCAAAATTCTTAATTTTGTATACTTTGGATGAATCTTATTTTTAACACCATCAAAACGTGAATAATATTTTTACACATGAATCAACTATGTTGTCAAGAATATTACATTGTTAATCCTTGCCATTTGTAATTTGATGAATTAAATATTGAACTGAGATTATAAATCAGAAATTAGTAAACTATGCAGATAATTGTATTTAAATTCCTGTCCTTTTTCTAAGCTTTTAATGCTTTTTAAGAAGTTATCTATCCTTGGATTAGGATGATAATGAATAGGGGTATTGACTTTCATTACACTATTAAGATTATTATGTGAACATAGTCTGTATTGCCCTCTATTGGTGACTAAATTTTGACAACATAATTGCTACTTATGTATTATATGTGTTTATTTAATAATTGTGTTGACAAATAAACTTTAGATAAAATAATTTTAAAACCAACCTAACAGTTATGGCCATGAATTGGCAAAGGTAGAAATAGGAGATTTTGCTCTTCTTGATTTGTTTTATTGACTAATCTGATACTGAAATACTTTTGTCTTTGATTAATTTTTATTTTATTTTATTTTTTTTGTCAGAGCTCCACCTCAAATCAGGCGTCCCAATCGAGAAGTAAGACCTCTAAGGAAAGAAATGGCAGGAATAGGAGCCCGGGGACCTGTAGGCCGAGCACATCCGATATCAAAGAATGAAAAACCTTCTACAAGTAGGGACAAGGATTATAGAACAAGAGGGAGAGATGACAAGGCAAGACTGTCGCTTTGTAATTCACTCACTTGAAGCCCATGACTTTGATGATGATTATGAGTTTTGTTGGCCTTTCAGGTTTTGATGTGGAAGAGATGAAAGAAAGAATGAAAATCTAAGTGTTTTTTATATGTTGAAGGTCACACTACAGTGCTGATAACCTGAGATGTATGGTAACCACACACACACACACACACACACACACACACACACACACTGCTGTAAAAATAATAAAGTGAATCTTTTGCAAAAATATTCTAAATAGAGTTTGAAAACCTCTTTGAAAACATTTTAACAATTATTCTGAATGAAAATGAACAATAAGTGAAAACATAATTGTAGGAGACAGAAAAAATTGGATGTTATATTCACAGAATAAAATGAGGGATATGATTTTCTACTGTTAAAATATCTTTTATTCTGAAATTATAGACTTGAGCAATGTATTTTTTTCTTTAGTGAGAATATTCCCATGGTTAATGCTCCTCGTGGACATGTACTTACCTGGGAAATTGACAAGTAAACATAGTACTGTATGGAAATTCTCTCCGGCCTGTAAAACGGACAGTGAGTTGAAGATGATCCTATAGCATCAGGAGCTAGCTAGGATGATCTGATGCATCTCTTAGCCTTAATTTTAGTGAAAAGCCTTAGTTTAGTGAAAAATTTGTAGTGATAGTATTTCCCAATCATTGTGATGTCTTAAGTGGGACTTTGTCTTTATTTTCACATAGCACAAGAAAAGAACTGGCCATGGTTTATTGACTGTTTCTTTTCTAGGCAAAATTCAGGGTAATCACAATAATTTATGAAACAGTCCTGCAAAGTAGGTATCTTATACCCATTTTACAATGAAGAAACTGGTGCAGAGAGGTAAAGTAACTTTCAAAGGAAGGAGTATTGAAGGAATGAGTCTGGAATGGAATCTGGAAGAATGGAATTTATTAAGTCATAATATTTTTGTCCTGCTTCTTTTAAGCCTTTTCAAATTATGTAGTATTCCTCTACCAAGCTAGATTTTGAAAATCTTGGTTGCACTGAAAAAAGAAAACTAGAATAATTAAATATTTAGTTTAAAGTGTGACCGCTCTTAAGCTAAGAACAAAGAAACCAAGCAGCATTTGTTGAATGCTGAGTATATTTTCTTCCTGGAGATTGTAAAAAGTCTTTGATTTATTATGTTTCCAAATAATTTTCGTAGTCTTATTCTTTCATTGACATGTAAGTACTCAGAATATTACTGAAAAACAAGACATGTGTTTAAAACAAATAAAACTCTGCAGTTGTTTTGCAGATAAAGAATATTCTGTCACCGTGGAAGTAAAAGGAACTAGAATTTTTAAAAAACTTATGGAAACGATTTGAATTTGAGGGGTGTGCTCAGCTCAGTTCTGATTATCATAACCATCAAAATATTCATTAGAATACCAGCATCTCAAAAACTAACTGAACACTCTGGTAAGGTGAGAGGCATCTTAGGTAAAACTGGTAGATACCCACTTTTCATGAAGGCTTATTTGAAAGTATCAGAAATACTCTCAATGATGTTGTAGTCTCTTCCTCTTTTTCTTAGTAAATTTTGTGCATTTCAACTAGCTTTAAAAAAAATGAAGCAGGATAGACTAGAAAATTCAGTTCATTGCTCATAGTAAAGGTAGTATTATTTTGGGAAATAAAAATAAAAATATATAAAAATTTAGTTGTATGAACATAGCTCATGATCTAAAAACACATTTATTACTTTGTGTTATGATCACAATTTTGAAAGTTGCTGTGTTCCAACCACTTACTTAACTTTATAGATGTAAAAGTAAGAATAAGAGAAATTACTTCTCTTGTCCAAATTCTGTGGTATATTTTAATTTTTCGTTTAATAACAAATGTTACTCTTCCTTGAGCACACTTAACCCTTTTTGGAGTTTTCTACAAATAACCTCTTTGAAGATTTATGCATATCTTAGTTTATTTGATCCCTATACTTGCCTATGAGCTCAGCATAAATTTCTGTTTTATTTACCAAGAAGTTGAGGCACTGCAAGTAAATGCTAGGACCAGAATTCGAATCTTAACTTTAATGTCGGAGCTTTTAATCATTATATAATATGGCTTCTTATTTGAAAATGCTTGTTATCTTGTTTTAATTTACCATGAATATTTATTTCTAAAAAGACTACTAATTCATTTTCTCATAGTGACTGCATCATCATCATCGTCATCATCAGTCATCATTTTGCTTTTTTAAAAATTAATTTTTTTGGTATATTTAAGGTACACAATATAATGACATTCATCATTGGAAATCTGCACCTTTACATAATCTATTTTGGTTCTTATTTTTCCCCATTCCCCTGCCCTCCCTTCAACCCCTCCACCCCTTCCTATCTACAAAGACTTTGTTTCCATGTTTTCTTTTTCTCATTTTAATTCTATTACCTTCTTTCTTTTCCACTACCCCTCCCACTTCCCCTTCTCCTTTGCACCTTTTCTTCCTGTTTCACATTATCTGTTATACCTTTTAGTCCTTATTTACACTTTGTTTCTCACACTAGAGAAACTATTCGGTAAACATATGTATCCTATTTATTTCACTTAAGAGTATCACTTAATGGTGCATCCATTTAGCTATAAGTGTCTGTAGTTTCTCATTCTTTGTGTTCTCCATTTTATATTAAACACACACACATTTTCTTTATCCAGTTTTCCATTAATGGGTAATTGGGCTGCTTCCATGTTTTAGCTTTCATGAATTGTGCTGCTATGAACATGGGTGCACATGTATCATTATGGTATGATTCTTTTAATTCTTTGGGGAAGATACCCAGCAGGGGGATAGCTGGGTCAAATGGGACCTCTAATCCTAGTTCTTTGAGGTATCTTCATATTGATTTCCATGAGTCTGCACTCCCACCAGCAGTGGAGAAGGGTTTCTCTTTCCCCACAGCCCCACCACCATTTGTTATTGGTTGATTTCATGATAGCAGCCATTCTTTCTGGGGTGAGGTAGAATCTCAGTGTTGTTTTCATTCTCATCTCTTGAACGGCCAGTGATATTCAACATTTTTTATATGTTTATTTGCTATTTCTACTTCTTTGTCTGAAATGTCTGTTCATTTCAGATGCCCATTTTTGAATTGGGTCTTTAAATTTGGGAGGTATGATTTTCTTAAGTTCTTTATATATTCTAGGTAGTAGACCTTTGTCTGAGGAAGAGCTAGTGAAAAGTTTTTTCCACATTGTGGGTTGTCTCTTCACACTATTGTTTATTTCTCTTGCTGTGCAAAAGCTGTTTAATAAGAAGAGATCCCATTTGTTGATTCTTTGTGCTAGTTAATAGGCAACTGAAGTTTTGTTCATAAAATCTTTTCCTACACCAATGTCTTCAAGAGTTCTACCTAACTGCTCTTCCAGCCATTTTAGTGTTTCTGTTTTAATATTTAGATCTTTAATCCATTTTAATTTTAGTTTAGTGCATGGTGAGTGATAAGATCTAGTTTTAATCTTTGGCAAGTTGAAACCCAGTTTTTCCTGCACCATTTATTAAAGAGGTTATCTTTCCTCCAGTGAAGGTGTTTGGCTCCTTTGTTGAAGACAAGGTGGCTGAGTGTGTCTGGGCTTGTTTCTGCATCTTCTAATCTATTCCACTGGTACTCAGGTCTGTTTCTTTGCCAGTACCATGTTGTTTTTATCACAGTAGCTGTGTAGTATAGTTTCATGTTGGGGATTATGATATCCTCTAACTTGTCTTTATTGCCTAGAATTGCTTTTGCTATTCTAGGTATATTGTTCCAAGTGAATTTTTGGATTGTTTTCTCAATGTCTGTGAAGTACACTGCTGGGATTTCAATCGGAATTACATTGAATGTATATAGCAGTTTTGGAAGTATGGCCAATTTCACTATGTTGATTCTTGCTACCCAGCAGCAAGGGATGTCTTTCCATTTTCAATATCCTCTTCAATCTCTTTTTTCAGAGTGCTGTAGTTTTCAAAGTAGAGGTCTTTGATTTCTTTCATTTTGTGGATTCCTAGGTATTTCAATTTTTTGGATGCTATTATGAAAGGAATTATTTGTCCCACTTCTCTCTCAATGAGTCTGTTTTTTGTGTACAGGAAAGTTATTGATTTTTGTGTGTTGACCTTGTATCCAGCTACTTTGCTGAATTTTGTTATTAAGTCTAGAAGACTTTTGGTGGAGTTCTTGGGGTCTTCTAAATAGAATATTATATCATCTGCAAATAATGACAATTTGACTTCTTCATTTCCTATCTTTATTACTTTTATTTCTTTCTTTTGTATAATTGCTGTGGCTAATATTTCCAAAACTGTGTTGAGCAGGAGTGGTAATAGTGGACATCCTTCTCTTGTTCCTGATTGTAGTGTGCAGGATTTCAGTTTTTGATCATTTATTATGATATTGGATGTTGGTTTTTCATAGATGGCTTTTATCAGATTGAGGTAGAGACCATCTATTTCATTTTTTTAGAGGGTTTTTATCATAAATGTGTGTTGGCTTTTGTCAAATGCCTTTTCTGAATCTGTTGAGATGATCATATGTTTTTTATCCTTGGTTTTATTAATATATTGTATGACATTTATTGATTTGCATCTGTTGAACCATCTCTGCATCCCCAGGGTGAATCCCACTTGGTCAGGGCATATGATTTTCTTGATGATCTTCTGCATTCTATTTGCCAGTATCTTATTAAGGATTTTTGCATCTATGTTCATTAGTGAGATTGGCCTATAGTTCTCTTTTTCAGTTGGGTCTTTTCTCTGCTGTGGGGATCAAGGTGATGCTTGCTTCCAGGAATGAATTCACAAGTATTGCTTCCCTTTCAATTTTTTCAATTAATTGAAGAGTTTAAACAGAAGTGGCAGTAGTTCTTCTCTAAATGTCTTGTAGAATTCAGCAGTGAAGACATCAGGACCCAGGCTTTTCTTAGTTAATAGTTTTTAATTACATTTTCAATTTCATTGATTGTTATTAGGTCATTTAGGATTTTTAGGTCATCTTTCAACTTTGGTAATTCATACAAATCTAGGAATCTGTCCATTTCTTCTGTATTTTCCATCATATTGCCATATAGGTTCTTGATGATCCTCTGGATTTCTGCTGGGTCTGTTGTAATTTTACCCATTCTTAATTGCATGGATCTGGGCCTTTTCTTTCCTTTTTTTTGATAAGGTTGGCTAAGGGTTTGTCAATTTTGTTTATTCTTTTGAAGAACCAGCTCTTGATTTCATTGATTTGTGTGTGTGTGTGTGTGTGTGTGTGTGTTGTTTTCTTAGTTTCCATTGCATTAATTTCTGCCCAGATCTTTATAATTTACTCCCTTGTATGAGCTTTGGGTTTGTCTTGCTCTTCTTTTTTCTAGAAGCTTGTGGTTCAGTATCTAGTTGTATAATTGAACTTGCTCTGTTTTCCTAATATGAGTATTCACTGCTATGAATTTCCCTCCTAAGAATGCTTTCATTGTGTCCCATAGATTCCATATATTGTATTGTCATTGTCATTTAATTGTAGGAACTGTGTGATTTCTTCTTTAATTTCCTCTGTGACCCATTAGTTATTCAGAAGTGTGTTGTTCAATTTCCATGTATTTATGAAATTCTTGCAGTTTCTTTTGCTCTTGATCTCCAGTCTCATCACACTATGGTCTGATAATATACAAAGGATAACTTCAGTTCCTTTGCACTTACTTAAACATGTTGTATGAGTGAGTATGTGGTCTCTTTTGGAAAACAGTGCATGTTCAGCTGAAAAGAATGTGTATTCTGCTTTTGTGGGGTGGAACACTTTGAAAACATCTGTTAAGTTAATTTGTTCCAAGAGTTAGTTTGAGTTCTACTATTTCATTGTTTATTTTTTGTCTGTATGATTAATCTATTTGTGACAGTGGGGTGTTAAGGTCCCCCACTACTATTGTATTAGTGCTTATATGATTTTTCATGTCCATTAGTATTTGTTTTATACTTTTGGGCACACTGGTGTTTTGTGCATATATATTAATGATTGTCATCTCTGCCTCTTGGATGTTCCCTTTACAAGGATGTAGTGTTGTTATTTGTCTCCTGTTGTTATTGGTTCCTGTCACATAGAGTATTGTTTTCCTCCCTTTAACTTTGTCTGTCAGTTTCTTCTTGAATTCAGTGTGTTTCTTGTATGCAGCATACTGTTGGAACTTGATTCTTGACCCTTTCTGCCAGTCTATTTCTTTTGATTGGTGTATTGAGACCATTAACATTGATGGTTGTAACTGATAGGTATTGACTTATCTTTGTCATGACATTTTGTTGTTGTTGGATTCTCCCCCTTTGCATTTAGTTTCTTGTTGTGTCTGATGGATTCATTCTGCTGGGCTTCCTGAGGTTGTGATCCTCATTATCTTTTCCTAGGATATTGTTTAAAATTTTTTAGAGTGCTGGTTTAGTATTCATGAAGTTCCTAAGGTGTTCTTTGTCATAAAAGTATCTTATTTCTCCATCAATTTTGAAGGATAGTTTTGCAGGGCACATCAGTCTGGGTTGGAGATTATTTTTCTTTAGGGCTTGAAGTACATTACACCATGCTTTTCTTGCCTTGTGGGTTTGTGTTGAGAAGTCTGCTGTGATTCTGATGGGCTTTCCTTTGTATGTGATTTGTTTCTTTTCTCTAACTGCTTGTAGAATTTTGTTCTTTTGTTGGGTTTCTGGAGTCTTAATTATTATGTGCCTATGTGTAGATTTTTTTTTTTTTTGATCATGGCTAGTTGGAGTTCTATAAGCCTCACTGTTGTATGTCAAGTTCTTTCCCCCATTTGGGAAGTTTTCTGCCATTACTTCTGTGAACAGTTTTTTTTTTTAATGTCATCTGCACTCTCTCCTGTTTCTTCATTGACTCCAGTCAGTCTTATGTTATTCTTCTTTGAATCATCTAGCAGCTGCTGGATTGATTGCTTATGGTCCCTTACTATTTTTAAGAGATTTTTCTTTTCCTGGTCACTAATTGCAGTCCTGTGTTCTATATCTGAAATTCTGTCTTTGTGTCCGTTCATTCTGCTGCGTGAACATTCAATAGAGTTTTTAATCTCCTAGAAACCTTTTTTCATCTATTTTATGGATTCCATTTGTTTCCTATGTTGGGAAACAATGTTTCCTATGTTGTTTCTCATGTTTCTCAGCTCTTCTGGCTTTTTAAAAATCTGTGTCTACTCTAGATTTATTAATCATGTCTTGTACTATGGGCACAATCTCTGCTATTATCTGAGAAATTATTTTTTTTTTTGGACAAAATGCACTAATGCTGCTTTTAATGGTGGCGCAATAGAGAAATACAAGGTTTTCCTAGAGCTTGAACCAACAGAAGATTTAACATACACCCAATGACAATACCAGATAGCCTTATAATAGAAACGTATCCCACGCTGCAAGGCTGTAGACGGTGTGCAAACAGGATGAAGATGGTTTCTTGCATTAAGTAGAGTAAGAGGGATAACTGCCAACCCAGCATTGTGAGTGTACTAATTTGGAGAAAATCCTTTTGTCCTGGTGATGGTTTCATCTTCCATATCTTTTAGTTAAGTGGGAAAAGAGTTTGCTTCCTCCAGTTTTACATTTTCTTGTTAATACACATTTTGTTTCAGTAGGGAGTCCTCCTGGGTGTTTCTGAAGTATTATATACACATCTGTTTGAGAGCTCAGCTTGTCTTCTTAGAGCATTTAGCTGTTTCTTTTATTGTTATAAAAAATGTTAGCAACAAACATGTCCTTTCCATTTTCCTTGCCATCAAACCCATTAAGATCCAAAGTTCTTGTCAAACATCTGGTTTTTAAATCTGGGTGAGAGTTAGTGAAGAATTAAAAAAACAAAATCTTTGTCAAAACCCCATGCTCTTTAAGCATGGTCTGTACTGTACTCTTCCCCATAACACTAGTTTCCCCATCCCACTACTGGCCAAAATCTGTCCCTATCAGAGGAACAGACTGTGGAAACTAGATGCATGTTACTCTCTTCTGGAGTAATCTTCATTTTCAAGATTTGAGTTATGAGCAAACAGAACCCCATGCTGTTCCCCACATCTTTTCAACCCTGAAAAACAGCAAAGGCCTCTTACTAGAGCCATCCAAGCCTCTCAGCTCTGCTGTGTGCAGTGTGGCTTCCAGGTGGAGGGACGTGGACTGCAGTGCAGAAGGAGTGAAAAGGGAGCAGGCAGAGGCTTCAGGTGGACTCTAAGGCACTTCCTCTACATCCAATGGCAGGTTGGCCCCCCGGCACTCTCCAGAGCAGGTGACTGATGCAGCCTGGCTCCCTCTTCAGACAGCTCATCAGTGAGGAAGATGAAACATCCTCACCTTCATTATTCAAACTCGGCTGGCTCTCAAGTATGACAAAATAACACAGGAGCATGCCCGTCTCCTTAAATTCTACTGTGTTGCTTGATGGACAGTGCCTCTGGTCTTCTCCTTCTAAGCCATGCCATTCCAGAGTCAGTAATGGAATATGGTGCCCTAGTCTTGTCAGGGGTGACTTCATTGTTTGTTACTTTGGACATCAGTTCAGCTAGCTTAGGCTTTGTCAGCATTCATCTGTGCCTTAGCTACTAGACTACAAGATGGAATGATGTAAGATCACAGAAGCTGCTGATACAACTTACAAGCTTTAAGTAGGACCTAAAGTGGTCACATATTCCTTGACTTTCAGAACTGTGCAGTATTTTGTAGTAAAGTCTGAGGTGCAGGCTCTGGAGGAACAGTGATACAGAAGTTATCTGGCTATAGAAGAGTCTGAAGGACATTCTCCCTGGAAGGACGAACATATAACAAAGAGTGGAGACTGTCACTAGGGAGAGTGCTTCACTTCCATGATAAACTGGATCCAATTGTTCTGTGGAAACAGACAGCGCCTTTTCCATAGGATGTCTATATACTAAGAGGTAGTATGGCGATTAATGTCAGTGCAAGACAATCAAGCTTCCTATCTTTTGGAAATTTTTTTTTTTCATAGAAACTAGATACTCTTCACTAGTTTACTGAATTAAAAAAATTGAAGATCCCGCACTTTTAAAAGACACTTTTACATAAAGTAGAACTTCTAGTTGACAGATTGAGAAATCAGTCTGAATTGGACATACTATGGATGCAACACAAAGATGAAATTTCCTCACACCACTACCTTGACATGGATCTGATACCCTCCCTCGAAAGAATCCTATAAAAAATTGCTTCAAAGCCCCTTTGAAATTGCAATAGTGCAGCAGAACCACAAGTAAACAATTGCCTGTTAACCTGGTATTTCAAATAGACTGAAAAGCCAAGAGGCAGGTTTTTTTTTTGTGTGCAATTTTTCAAAACAAATTGTAAGTTGAAGTATCAAATGAAGTATCAAATATGCACAGCACTGTCCCTTCACAGAAGGTAAGAAACTTCCCGTGTATCATGTCAGAGGCCGTCCTCGGTGCTGTAGGCTGTGAAAGTGGGCCTCCTTCAGGGTCTGGTTGATGTGGAAGTAAGGGCCTTGGCACAGTGCAGACTCCTCAAGCATGGGCTGAGGGGTGTTGGGGCTGGATCCTGGCATGACCTGGCTTAAGCCACTCTCTGGCTCACTGGCCCGGTCTGGGCTATGGATGCTGGTGCTGCTGCTCCCGCCACTGTCACTGCTCGAAGACTCTGAGTCCCAGGAATCCTGAAAGAGGGGGTTTCTACTGCTTCTTTTGCTCTGGGAGGGTAGATGATTATCTTCTTCATTGCCGTTCCTTCTCCTTTTCCTGGGGCAGAGGCGCTCGCTCATCGTAGCTGGTGGAGAGAAGCGACTAGGTGCCGCTCCACACCGAGAAATTATTTCTGATTTCATTTTTTTTTCCAAGTCCACTTTCATTGCCAGTTCAGGGAGTCCAGGAGGTTGAGTATCAGATTGTTCTATCTCATTGCCCTTTGGGGTTGCCTTAGGTGATCTGAAAGTCTGGTTTTGTGACTTATTTCTGTGTCTTCTCATTTCAACAGATGCAGCCTGCTGTGCCTTTGTTGAGGCAACTTTTTGCTCACCCAGTGGTCCTCAATTCTCAGCAAGCCACCAAGCAGCCTTTACTCTGATTCTCCCCAGTACACCAATTCCTGGGTTTAGAATGGTGGCCTTCTAGATCCCTGAGCTGAGTGTTGTCTGAGCGGGCTTCATTCTGGGGCCTGTGCACACTTGGGATAATATCTAGGTGTGCTTCTTGCTGGGCCCCTAGGTAGCTGTTTCCTGGGAGGGCATTTGTCTGGCGTCTGTGTACCCCATTTCTAGTTGTCTGCATAGGCTTCTGGCTAGGGTCTCCACACATTTATCAGTGTTATTGGGGTGAGCCTCTGGCTGTTGCTTATGCATCTGTGTAGTTTTCTAGGTGGGCCCTTGGCTGTGGCTGATTGTATGGTGGGTCTCTGGCTGAAGCTTGTACGCCTGTGCAGCTCTTTTCTAGGCTGGCCTGTGGTTTGAGTGGGTGTGCCTGCACCTTTGGGGTTGGAGTGGGGCCCTTTGTGGGATTACCCTGCAGTTACGCCGCTCTGGTCCACATAGCTGTTCCCAGGGATCTGAGTGCACTTACCATGGTGTGGTGAGCCTCTGGATGCATCATTTTGCTTTTTTAAACTGACATACTTCAGGTTAGCTTTATGCTTAAAATACTGTTTTTAAATAAGTAATAGTTACTTTGCATAGTGATCTATTGTTGAAGCCTTATTGTTTTGTTTTGTTTGTTTTGAGGTTCACAGGTCATTCATGAGGCCAGTTTGTAATCCCACTTATTTAACAAATCTTCATTAAGCTTATATTTTGTGTCAGTCATACTCCTAGGTGTTAGAAATATAAACTTGTAATATGGCATCTGGTCTTGAGTATTTTCTGATTGTTGAGAGGGAGTTAAATGAACAAATTTACCTTTACACTATAGTTTTCAGTCTTACTTGAATGCATTTGCTGTCTTAGTCTGAGCTGCTGTAACAAAATACTGAGTAATTTATAAAGAATAGAAATTTGCTCCTCATAGTTATAGAGACTGGGAACCCCAAGATCAAGGAGCCCACAGACTTAGTGTCTAGTGTAGGCCTGTTTCTCATAGATGGACCTTCTATTGTATCCTCACATGGTAGAATAGTTCCTCAAGCTCCCTTAAGTACCAATTCCATTCACCAGGGTAGAACTGTCATGATTGAATCAACTTTTAAAGGCCCAACCTTTTAATAATAATGCATTGGGAACTAGGGTCAAGAGGAAAAAAAATATGTCAGCCTTCATGCTAAATATCAAATTCTTGCTAATACTGGCCTTAGTCAGCTTGTGGAAATCTAAGGCAAGAATTCTAAGATCATTTGAAAGTCATTACAATTAGTATTATGCTTTAGTAATAGTATCTCAGATGAGATTAGCTTTTACTGCTTGAAAACTAACAGTGTTTTAAATGTTGCAGTTACTTAGCTGGTTAACTGAAACCAGTTATTTATAATGTGATGTCCATATTCTAACTTATCTATATATTTGTTACAAGAGTAATTATCACCTTTTTAAATTATCTTATTTAATTTTAGTTTTCCTAGGTCTGTCTTTCCTTATTACCTTGTTAATTTGCTTTGAAAAAGTTTCTAAATACAGAATATCTCATCTCTACAACTGGGAAACTTTGAATTCTTGGGCAGATTGTTTGATGAATTTATACTTGTGTTTCTTCTGTGCAGTGAGAGGCCTTTCTTTATTCATCACCTCCTCTCTACCATACTCTTTTTCCATACCATAGCCAGAAAGATCATCTAAAACTGTTAATCATATTATGTCATTCCCATGCACTTAGTATAAAACCCAGATTTATTTCTACGTACATCTCCTGTATCTTCCTTCTACTTCGTACCTTTTAGCCACACTGACTAATCAGATTTTTCATAGCACTTGAAATTTATAATTATGTGTGTCTTTCCTTTGTTTGTGTTTTCCTCTACTAAACCAAATTCTTGATGAGGCCCTGCATTATACTTTATTCACTACTCTAAAAGCCAGTGCACAATAAAATGTTGCTCATAGAGGTGATCTGATCTCTGTTCCTAAAATCTTGTGACCTTGTTGCTTGAAAATAGATAAGCAGCTTTTCTTTTCTCTTGGTAGTGTTTATCAAGTCTTCCCATACCATTTGGGCTCTTACATTAAAATGAAATTTTAAATTTAATTTGCTATCTTTTTTTCTCTCATTGAGTTTATTGATACATTTTAGGTATACAGTACAGTTACATTCATCATTGGTATCTTGTACCTTTACATGACAGGTCTTGGTTCTCATTTTTTCCCCTTGTCCCTGCCCTCCCTTCACCCCTTCCTCCCTTCTAATTTGCTATCTCAAACTAAAATTTCCATATGAAGATTTGTTATGCTCTGTATTAATTTCTGTTGCATTATTTAATTATTTCTAGAGTAATTGTTAAATGATTACAATGTGTTCCCAGTGAATTGTTTGAATGAGACTTTGTAGCCTTGGCCTATCCATCTGTAAAATGTGATTCTAGGCTGAGTTTATTTTGAATTTGTTGATTTTATATTTGTTGTATAGCTAGGCCAGAAATTACTTCCTTTCAGTAATGTAAGTATTGTTATATGTCATCTAAAATATAAGAATCTTACTAAAAATTAGCTTGCTATTATTGTCATACTGCCTAGATAAAGTAAATTGTTTATTTTGGGGGTCAAGTGCCACAATACTATTTAGTCATTTATTTAGTTGCTAAAATAACAAGAGCATCTGCCAAAGGAAGCTGTTTAGTTCTCTCATAGTATGTAATGCACCTGTCATTTATCTCAGAAGAATTGGAAGGACAGAAGTCCAGTATGTACTCTTCATATTGTCTCTTCAGTTTGATGTTGATTATGGCCTCTTCTTTTTGTCTCTCTTAAGCTTGATGTTTAGGAGATTGACTCATTTTGACCTTTTTTTCCCTCCTCATTTTTACATCAGACAGGAACTCTAGGGCTCAAGTTCTGGGGATGTAGTTGAACTATTTGGCAAATAAGTGTGTTCCATTAAGCTCTTCAAAGCTGAGTAGTAAATCTTGGTAGAATTCCATAGCTAGAAACCATAGCATATAATTTTTTTAAAGGCACCTCATTATTAAATCAAGAATTTGTGGTAAAGCATATTGATTTAATGCTCTTAATAATACTATTTTAAAGGTCATTTTACCAGTGTCATTACAGTGATTTTCTGATGTGGCCTAAGGACCTTATTGGAAGAAACTCAGAATCTTGAGGGCATACTTATAATAAAAGTAAAAAAAAAAAAAAAACATGCAGTTGAGAGTCCGAAACTTTTCTTCATCTACAACTTCTTTTTTGGATACTGTGGGGAATAGTTCTGCAATCCGCAGCTGCTCTGAAGCATTAAGCAATTGAGCCAAGGCCTTAAACAATCTGATGTGGAAAATAGTGTGGGTTTAGGGAAGCAGGAAGACCTGAGTTAAAATCTCTCCCTGACATTTATTTATCAGTGATCTTGTTACTGAGCTGTTGTGAGGTCTAGCTCCTTATCTATAAAAACAAGAAAAATAGTATCTACCTTGGATTATTGTATTAAATGAGATGATGTATGTGACATTTTTCTAACACATGGTAGGTTCTTAGTGAATTAATTTTCTTTTTTATATGTTGTTACTCTGATTACTTTCTAGCAGTGGTAGAAATTCTTTGTGTCCATCAATTAGGTTTCCCCATCCTGTTGGGATCTAGCAAAAATCATCTTAGTTTTACCTGTAACTGTTTCTCTAAGAATGTAGATTTGAAGATGTTTATAATAAATTTAATCAGTTCATTTCTTTCTAATTAAATCCTAAAGGAGGATGACATTTCAGCAATCAGAAAATACTACTTTAAGTTGTAAGAAAATATTTAAAAGTGATTATATTGTACTATTTTGAAAGCTTAATGATATTAAAATTGTCCTATTACTGACCAGAATATTTTTTATGGCTGTTCCCAGGGAAGGAAGAATATGCAAGATGGTGTAAGTGATGGGGAAGTTCCAAAATTTGATGGTGCTGGATATGATAAAGATCTGGTGGAAGCCCTTGAGAGAGACATTATATCCAGGAATCCTAGCATTCACTGGTTAGTATTTTAAGTTCTTGAATTGAAAAAATAGATCGTAGCTTGGCTTGGTGTAAGTCTTTTCTTGTTATCCATTAATTTTCTGATTATGTCATAAGTATGCAGAATTGACAGGACAGAGTGTAAGCAAAGGCATTTTACATGTTAATTTAATGTTGACATTAATTGACAAAGGTCAGTAATTGAATAATGTGTTGTAATTAATAGTTGCAGTGTTTCCACTGATCATTTTATGCAATTATAATTAGAATAATGTTCTTAATATAAGTGTAATTTCCTAAGTAAAAAGATGTAAAAGAATTACTTTTGACCATGAATCAAAGGTGTCCTTGAATAAACATTGTGAAACTTTGTCATTGTTGCAAAGGGATGATATAGCAGATCTGGAAGAAGCTAAGAAGTTGCTAAGGGAAGCTGTTGTCCTTCCAATGTGGATGCCTGACTTTTTTAAAGGGATTAGAAGACCATGGAAGGTGAGAATTTAATAGTATGGAATTAGTATAAGGATTCTGCCTGCATGTAGATTTTTATTTTTAACTCAGCTTGCAAAAGTCAAGGGAAGTTTGTATATACCCAGAACACCTGCATTTAAAATTTTAGTTGAGATGTGTGGCAAGAGAGCTCTCTTTAAATATTGAAACTGTCCACTTTAGTCTGTCACTTCCTTCAGGTGCTGAACTAGAGGCCAATTTTGAATTTTCTAGATAACTGTTTCTGTAAATAAAAAGTTAAGCAAATTAAGCAGCAGTAGTGTATAGTCTTAAGTATTTGATCAAATACTTTTTTTAAAGTTGACATTTCTCACTAATCATTAATTATTTTGATCATCGTTTGATCTATGCTTAGTGTAATTATTAGACAAAATCAGAATGTTTGTTTCTTTGTAGTTTGCCCTCTGCTTTAGAGATTAAATCCCACTTAAGTGCAGCATTGTCACTTTAGCATATTAAAAATCTGTTCCAGCTTTTCTTTTTTTTTTTTTTTTTTTTTTTTGGTCTTAGCCATAGGCAAAGTCTTCCTCTACTTTGACTAATGGCATGATCTTACTATGATCTTTGACTTAGCTAGAAAAGCCTTTCTCTGCCTACCTCTGCTCAGGTTCTTGTGCTGAAAAGAGAGGAATAGAAATTATATATTTATCTGAATAGTTTGGAACATTCATGGAATTTTGATTGCTTCTTACAACTTGGAGAGTGTTTTTTCCCCTTAACATACTCTTTAAAAAATTTTTTTTTTTTTGGTACCGGGCATTGAACTTGGGTCCTTGCGCTTGCAAGGCAGGCCACTGAACCGCTGAGCTAAATCCCAGGCCCTTTAAAATTTTTTTATGTGACACGTATTTAAGAGCTGTGATCAAAATACACAATAAATGTTTACATTTAAAAAAAAATTATAAGTAGAAGGTACATTGCCATTAATCTCCTCAAAATACTCCCCCTTGCTTTGAACACATTTATCAAACATCACACATGGAAGTTTTTCCAGGCTGTCATGTCCAAAGTTCTTTGTTTGTTTTCTTTTCCTTTCCCCCCCTCCTCTCCCCTACCTATCCCTCTTCTCCCTTCTTCTTCCCTCTACTCTCTTCTCTTTTTGTAATAGCTGGGATTAAACCCAGGGCCTTGTACATGCTAGGTAAGTGCTTTACCACTAAGCTATACCCCACCCTACCCCTTTTTAAATTTTTAAAAATTTGAGACAGAGTCTTACTAAATTGTCCAGGCTGGCCTCAAACTCTTGATCTTTCTGCTGCAGGCTGCCAAGTATCTGGGATTATGGGCATGTACCACCACACCCAGCTCAGTATACAGAGTTTTCATTGGGGTCTCATTATGTAGACATGATGAATTGAATCATTGCCATGGGCCTCAAACCCCAGCCCCTTCTCTTTCCAGAAGTTGAGTTGATACCATATGGCTCAAAACTCCAATTCTTTAATCACATGGTTAGTGTTTCTGGCATGGTCAGCTCTCATCCTGAGTCACTTATGTTAGCATAAACTATACAGGGACCCTTCACAAATTACCTCATTAGCATAAAATTTCAGAGTCCAACATGAATAACAGGGACACTCCTGTCACTCACTAAATTCCAAGGCAGTAGAGGCTACTTTCTAGATATTGGAGACAAAGCTAGCCAAATTTTCATTCTGTAAAGTACAATAAACTGATGGTGAAAATTGATGAGAAAAATGCAGGTTTAAATAGAGAAAAAAATGTATTTAGGTAAATACTCAGAAGGTAAGTGGAAATAAAGGTCTGGAACTTGGGCTAGAAAAAGTTTGAATTTAAATTTAAATTATGAAATGTAAGTGGTGGTTTGAGGTATGGGTGAATTTGTTCACAATTTTTACAAAGGGAAATGAGCAAAAGACTTAGAATTACTTTGGAAGTATAAAGTATAGAGGAGGAGGAAATCTGAACGACCCTGATAATAGCCAGAGTAGAAGTGTTGGAGAAAGAGCAGCATTACAGAATCCATTGTAAGGTCAAAAACACAGGAGGAAGAGGATGACCCCATGTATCCAGAAGTGTCAGAGATTAGACAGAAAAAGGTAGTGAGGTATGATTTGAACAGGGCCACTGGAGTAGTAAGTTAGGTAATTTTAGTGAGATGATAGAGACTAAAGATTGTACCCTATGAAGAAGAAATAGCATAAATCACTTCTTTATTGACTGTGAAAGGAAGGAGAATTGTATAATAGCTAGAGAATTTGCAGGATCAAGTAAAGGATTTTTTTTTTTATGGGACAGATTTAAGTATATTTCTCTACTGAGAGGCCAAGGAGATGCAGGAAAGAGTGGAGATAATTGAAGGAAGGTGATGAAACTTAGAAATATTATACTGTATCTGTGTACAGATGCTAGTGTTGGAAATTAACTCCTTTTGGAGGCAGCCACATAACTGACATTACAAGAACTAAGAGGACATTGAATGGGGGATGTTAGAAAAGTATGAACTTTGCTATATCTGTGTCCAATAACAGTGCCTAATAGCATGTTTGCTTTTAGTTTTCACAATCTGAGCCTTTCACATAGTTAAATTCTCCCTACAAATCCAAAAGAAATTTTATAAAACTAGCATTTCAGTTAGGTGTGGTAGTGCATGCCTCTCAGTATGAAGGGCAGCTAAGGCAAAAGGATTCAAGTTCAAGCTGAACCTGAGGGAGTTAGTGACTTATGGAGACCCTATCTCAAAAGTTTAAAATAAAATTAAAAAAATTAAAAATGAGCAGGAGATGCAACTCATTGCAAAATCCTCAGTACCACTACCCCACAATCACACGAAAACTCTATAGTGTTTCAGTTCTCAATGATCTCTGCTTTGTGTATCAAAATTCTATGGCTAGAAAGGGATTTGGACATTTTTTGAATTTGGAGTTTATAGGACTTCAGTGTATACATCTCAAAATTTAAACCTCCAGATACTTATCAGACTAAATTAGCGACTTGACCATAATTCCTCTTAAAGAATCAACTATTAAAAAAATGTAGTATTGACTACATATCCAAAATCTCATTAAAATTGTGAGAAGAAGATAATATTTAAAAATTCATTAGTCTTCAAGACTTAGAGCCCTGGTTTTTCTTGACTCATTTTTATGCCTCACTGATTTGTTTTTATAGAATACATTGTTTTCGAAAATAAGTTTAGTTTTCAGTCTGCATTCAGTGACTCTTTCATCAGTAATGTGCATACCATGGAGCATATTAAATTGATGCAGTTGTAGCTCATTTGATTGTTTGAATTATCATTGGATTTGACTGTTAGCTGAACTCCTAAGTGGGTCTTTATTTTTCACTGAAAGCTGTATACATGAATTGTGTAAGATAGAATTTGTCCCCTTCAGAGGGAAAGGGGATATGTAGCTCTACAAGTAGTGGGAAATACCTTATTTTAATTATGTTTAAACAGAGCAGTCACTCTTAAATGGTACACAGGACTATACAAAATTATCTTGTACCATGATCACGAAAGGTTCTTTCTAAATGTACCAGGAAGTTCTTTTTTTTGTTGTTTTTTCCAGAAAGTACTTAATAGGAAAATCTTCATGTACTTCAACATTAGTGCTTGGTTTATGAAAAAAAAATTATGTGATCAGTCATTTTTAAATTCATTTTCCAAAATTTCAGGGTGTGCTGATGGTTGGACCTCCAGGCACTGGTAAGACTATGCTAGCTAAAGCTGTTGCCACTGAATGTGGTACAACATTCTTCAATGTTTCCTCTTCCACACTGACATCTAAATATAGAGGTGAATCTGAGAAGTTAGTCCGTCTGTTGTTTGAAATGGTAAGTGATTATGCGTTCAGATCTCTTGTTTATGTAGGCACCTGATGCTGCCACCTTCACTTAGGAATCTTTGTAAAAAGGGTGGTGTGGTTGTTTATCAATAGTTTGGACACACTATGGGTGTGTCCCACACACAAATGGGTGGTGGGTTTTGTGGGATAATTGGTGTGTCTTCAGTGTATCTTCCTTCTGAAGTAGAAGGCCCTTTGGCATCCTATCCAGTAGGAATGGAAAAAACCTTGGCTGTATGTGGGTTCAGTGTTTCTTCATGTCTAGTGAGCTGGTGGAACAGAAAAATATTTTAATGTTTTAAAAAATCATTTAGAAATTGTTATGTCATTAAAGTTTATTCCTTTTTCCCTACGGGGTTTGCAATAATTACTTAAGAATACATGCTTGAGGGTAGAGGTTGATGTATCTTTTAAAGAAGTTTTCATTATGGAAATTTCCAAACACAAAAGTGAAAATAATAGTAACAGTGATTCCCCATGTATCTATCATACAGCTTCACCAACCATAAAGATTTTTAGAAATTTGTTTTTTCTGATGTGACTACTTTAGTTATCCTTTTTAATAAATAGGTGGTAGTGGCATTAAAGCAATGTGAAATTTCAACTTTCATTTGCCATTTTTTAAAAGGAGATCTAGTATTTAGAAGTATTTGGATTGCTTTATGAGATCATTGATTTCTTTAAAATATTTTCACAAAGGCTAGGTTTTATGCCCCTACCACAATCTTCATTGATGAAATAGATTCCATCTGTAGTCGAAGAGGAACCTCTGATGAACATGAGGCAAGTCGCAGAGTCAAGTCTGAGCTCCTCATTCAGATGGATGGTAATTAACATTTAATTACTGTCTTTCTTTTTTGTAGATTTATACTTTGGAAGTTCTCAGTAAATGAACTAGAAGACAGCTGAAGTTTAATCATTTATTTGTATATTCTCCCTCATTTTTTTCATGAATTAAAAAGGCATTTGTTGCATATTGGAATGAATTGTGAGCTATTCCAGGTTGTGAGGTTACAGAGAAAAGGTCTACTATGGCCCTCAAGCAGCTTACTATTAGAGCAGAGGCTCTGCAGGTGTGTTCTAGAGTCCCATGGTTCTTGATTCCCTTTTAAGGAGTCTACAAGGTACAAACTATTTTACTAGCAATATCAAAAAATCATTTGTCTTTTTCACTCTCATTCTCTCACAAGTGTACAGTGGAGTTTTCCAGCAGGTGCACAAATTGGGAATATGATAAAAGATCGAAAACAAGCAGATATGAGAATCCAATTGCTTTCTCTTTAGTCAAATGTTAAAAATTTTGCAGAAATCTCACACAGTTTTTTTTGGTTTTGAAAAATGCACCTATTTTTTCATAAAAATTTTGTTACCAAGTAATGGATTTATTTTTAAAGTTAATTTGAAATTTTGTTTTAATTTATAATGGTAAATATTGATCAATAAACTTCCTAACACACACACACACACACACACACACATACACATACACATATATATACATACACACACACACACACACACACACACACACACACACACCTCTTTGGAGCTCCCAATACTTTTAAAAAGGGTAAAAGAGTACTGAGACTAATACGTTTAAGAAGGGCTAATCAGAAAATTACAGTACACTGTGATAGATTCTGTGGTAGTAGACTCTGGGTGCAATAAAAACACATTATGAGCAAACTCAAGGTCCTGAGTTTGATCCCCAGTACCAAACCAAACCAAACCAAACAACACAACAACAACAAAACCCATTAGGAGTCATACCACCCAGACTAAGGACCACCTGAGTTCAACTTTGCAGTGTTGATCAGTTTTCCAGGCAAAAGGCATTCAGAAGTCATAGAAGGAAGAAAATTACTGGCTCAGAACTCCTCTTTCTCTGGTAATTTGGTGGTGAACAACAGCTGTTTGAGCAAACCGTGAGAAAAAAATGTTTAAAAATAGGGTACTGTTTCAAAACACCCCTGGTTATCATCCACCAACCATGGATACTTATTGAATACTTATTAATGTATATTATATACAATGCCAGGCACTGTAACACAAAATAATGTACTAAGCATTCTTTCCCTTAATGAGTTTGCATTTTAACTTTTGCTTAGGTATGAGAGAAAGGAAGAACTATGTTATGCTTTTGGAGGAGGGGTATGAAGGAGAACATTGTTTAAAACTGGAAAAAAATCAGTGAATAAGAATTTAGTCAGCAGAATTTGATTTAGGAGTATTTGTGACTTATTTTTTAGTTGGATTGCTTGATTCTTTCTGATAATCATTGAAATAGGAGTTGAGTAAGTTTTAAGGAAATAAACATTGAACTAGGTTGCTGTTAATCCCCTACTTTGTAATGCCAGATTGAAAAATATACATTTTTTTTCTTTTCCACCACTACATATTTTCCAGAATTTTTGTTGTATGACTGGGAATTTTGCATTCTGAAATTTTAATTCTGAAAAAGTAGACTCTGTACATACATACAATTGGTTTGACCTTACAAAGATACAGTTTTCAACAGTGTTTGATTATCAAATTCATTCTTAAATATCTTTTCTTTATTATTTAAAAGCTTGAAGTACAGAATCATTGCAGTGTAGCCTGTCTTTCAGAATTACAATTTCATGTGTATTATTAAGTAAATGTGAACCCTTACCTGTTCTTGCTTCTTGAGAGAATGAAATAAATTAGACTGAAAACTAAAATAATTTTTGAATAAGTTTATGGTTGAAAAAGAAAAAAAAGTTTAGTTTCTGATCCTTTTCTATTCAGAAAAATAGGCATTTATTTTTTTTACCGAAAAATTTTTTTTAAATTAGCTTAGAATTCTGCATTAGATTGTGTAAAAATTCTTTTACTTCCTTACTTTGTAGTTACCTGTTAATGTGTCTGGTTTTGCTACCATGTAAAGGTCAGAAAAACTGCAGCATTTTTATCATTTATCCTCCCACCCAGCACTGTAGCTAACATTTAGAAATGGTTGGGTGAATGAGAGAATAAAAGGCTATGATAAAAACACCAAGAGCCTTTTCTCTCCCACTTACTTATCTAGGAGTTGGAGGAACTTTAGAAAATGACGATCCTTCCAAAATGGTTATGGTATTGGCTGCTACTAATTTCCCCTGGGACATTGATGAAGCTTTGAGAAGAAGATTAGAAAAAAGGATATACATACCTCTCCCAACAGGTATGATACCTTCCCTCTATTATATTTTGAGTTTTCTGTTACCTTTTTTTGGTTTACCTAACTCTTTATTCCATTGTCAGTCTGATCAAAGAAGTTTATAGCATCACACAAGCAATTTTAATAGATGGAAATGGAGGCCTCAGTACTGTCTTGGAATTTCTTACATTTCAGAGAAATTTGTATTAATAAATTTGGTAGTATTTACTTTTAAACTTGAAGAGTCTCCATTAAAACTTTTTTTTTTTTTTTTTTTTTTTTTTTTTTGAGACAGAGTCTCACTTTGTAGTCCAGGCTGGCCTTGAACTCACTATTGTAGCCCAGGCTGACTTTGAACTCACAATGATCCTCCTGCCTCAGCCTCCTGAGTTGCTGGGATTACAGGCATGTGCCAGCATGCCCAGCCATTAAATCTTATTTATGTGATTAAAAGTAAAGTTCTCTCAGGGTCTTTTATAAAATATGATGCTTTGAAAGATACAATTTCATTAAGTTAATGAATATTTAAGTTTTCCTAAGCGAATTTTTGTTTTATTTGTATATAGTAAAATGTACATATCAAGTGTATAATTCATGAGTTTTGATAAATATATCTTCCAGTTTAATCAATATCCTATTTAAGATGTAGGATACATCAGAAAGTTTCTGTGTCCCTACTAGGTAATTCAGACCTCTATCAGACATTCACTTTACTGATTTTTATCACTACATTTTTAGTTTTATCTCTTTTTAAACTTCACATGAATGGAATCATAACAATAGATAGTCTTCATATCTACTTTCATCCAATTTAATATTTTTCAGATTTATTCATGTGATTTGTGTCACTTCTAGGTTTTGGCTATTATCATAAGCTATAAATCTTCCTACACAATTTTTTTTAATGCAAGAATGTTTTAAATTCTTTTGGATAATAAGAATAGAATAGATGAATCATAAGGTAGTATATAACTTTTTAGGAAAAACTCAGGCTGTTTTCTAGAGAAATTATGCCATTTCATACTCTTACCATCAGTGAATGAGAATTCCACTACTCCCACATCCTTGTTAACATTTAGTATTATATGTTAGTTGTATTCATGTGGTCATTGTAAATATTGTATCATTAAGGTTTCAATTTGTATTTGATGACTTACCTTTTCATGTGGTTATTGGCCCAGGTTTTTAATTATTTGCTGTTTTATTAACACTTTATATAAAGTTCTTTATCAGATATGTGCCTTGTGAATATTTTCTTTCAATTTATAGTTTGCTTTTCAATTTTCTTTATGGCACAAATTTTTTTTTATTTTACATGTTTGCAGTTCATGATTACATTCATCATAGGGAGTTTGGTATATTTTTTATAACACATCTTAATTCTTTTTAATGTCCCTTCCATGGCATCTTTTGGGAAACTGAAATTTTTAATTTTGGTGAAATCTGCTTGTCAATTTTTTGTTGTTTTATGGGCAGTGCTTTTTATGTCTTTGGACATCTTCACTTACCCAAAGTCTGTAGTGTTTTTCCCTGTAGTTTCTTTTAGAAACTATATTTAGATCTGATTCTCCTTGAATTAATTGCATGTGTGTGTGTCTATGTTTGTGAGGTGTAGGGGTTGAGTTTTATTTTTCCATATATGTATCCAGTTCTATCACAATTTATTGAAAGGGCATCTTATCCATTACATTACTTTGGCATTTGTTGAATATATTTACCTACGTATGTATGGATCTTCTGCTATGTATGTATGTGTGTATGTATCCTTCTCTACCACTATTTTTTTGTTTTTTGTTTTTGGTACTGGGAATTGAACTCGGGACCTTTCGCTTGTGAGGCAGGTGTTGGAACCACTGAGCTGAATCCCCAGACCTATACCAGTAATTAAAAAAAAAAAAAAAAAAAGATAAAGCGCTTTCATTCAAGATGTTACCTGTTCTTCTTCAGTAAGCTTTGGTAGTTTGTGTCTTTGAAAGAATTTATACATTTCTTTGAAGTTGTCAATTTATTTGATTTTTTTACTTACCATAAATGTAAGAAGCTTTCCAGACATGTATGTGAGGCTGTTGTTGATTTCATGTCTGGTTCTGGAACTTGAAGTCAGTCAGAACAAGCTTTCAGGAAAAGAGGGTGAATATGAAGTGGTAGAACTACTGACAAACTGTAATCTATGGGAATAAGCAGAAACCCAGGAATCTTGGGTTTTCATTCTTCTAAAATTTCCAACTGTGATTAAGTTCCCTACAGAAATTTATACCTGGCTTAGAGGGTAAAAATGCTGAAAGGAGGAAATAATGGCAAGAGCTAAACAAAGTGGAGGTACATTGCTGCCCCACACTAGCAAAATGAACAAGTGGGTAAGAGACAGTACGTACCAACTTTCTGCATTGATTCCTGTCTACCTTTTGAATCTTACACATAGTAATATCCACTCCACTAACCCAGAGTCACACAATAATGAGATTTCTGGGAAGTTACAACTTAAGTTGATATAATACAAATCCACATATCTCATTTTCCTTTCATGGTCTGTAGGATCTGTGGTGATGGCTCATTTTTCATTCCTAATCTTGGTAATTTATTTTATCTTGATCTTGATCATCCTTGCTAGAGATTTATCAATATTAGTAGTCTTTTCAAAGAACTAGATTTTTGGTTTGTTAATTTTGTATTTCCTATTTCATTTATTTCTTCTCTCATTTTTATTTTCTCTTTTATACTTTGAGTTTAATTTTCTGTTTTTCTGAAGTTAAAATCTTAAGATATTGCTTTTAAGCATTCTTTTTTTTCCTTCCTTTTTTCTTTGTGATATTGAGGGCCAAATCCAGGGGCCCTCTATTACAGAGGTACAGCCCAATCCCTTCTAAATTTTGAGACAGATTTTCCCAAGTTGCCAAGTTGTCCAGGCTAGGCTGGCACTCGCCATCCTCCAGCTTCATCCTCCCAGAGTGTTTGGATTGCAGGTGTGTACCACCGTGCTTGGTGACATTTTAAAACTTGAAATTTCTCCGAAAGTACTGTTTGGCTTTATCTCACAAATTTTGCTTCATCATGTTTTTTCTATATCAAGTTAAAGTACTGATAAAAGTTAATTTTTCTTTATTTGGCCCTTGAATTGTTAAGAACTATCTGATTTAGTAACCCAATATTTGGGGACATTCTAGATACCTTATTGTTGAATTCTAGCTTAATTTCATTATGGTCAGGAATATGCTCTGTAAGATGCCAGTTTTTTTAATTTTATTTAGGTATATATTTGTATTTCATTGAGATTTATTTTATGGTTTAGCATGTATTGTATCTTGATGAGTGTTCCACTTAAAGTTCAACAAATGTTTATGCTATGTTTTAATATTCTATAATTGTAAGTTCAAGCAGGATGGTTTGATATTATTCAGATCTTCAGGACCCTTGCCTATTTTTAGTTTAGTACTTTAGAAATCAGTCCATTGGACAGTCTTCCAAAAAGTTGTAATTTTAGATATTTGTTCCACTCTTCTCTTTTCTTCCCAAGAGAGCAGCTGAACACTTTCCACAGTCATACAGAACCATATTGTGTTTTGTCTATAGTGTTATAAGTTGCTGGTTCTACAACAACTGCTAGCTTCTTTTAGTCTCAGTGGCCTCAAGATCTAAGTGTGCTGGTTCCTCATCAGAGCTTATTCTGGTATTACAAAAGCCAGTCCTTTGGACAGCCTCTTGGAAAACTGGAAAGAAAAGAGATATATAATGGAACACTACTTGGCTATAAAGAATGATGAATTTGTGATATTTGTAGGAAAATGGATGCACCTGGAAAATATAATATTGAGTGAAATAAATGAGACACCCAAGCTTAAGTGCCATATGATATCTCTTATTTGAATGAGGCAGAGTACAAAAAAGAACAATAATGGGTGTTTCAAAGAGGACAGGGTGCATCTTTTCAATAGGGAAGTGGTCAAGGGAACAAGGGCAAGGGGTGAGGAGGAGGGGAAGGGGAACTAATTAGAATAAATATGCCATGTAAGGAAACCTAATAACCTCAATCAGCGTAAGCAGTATATCCCATAACATGATATAAATTAATAAAATCAAGAAGAGAAAAATTGGGATAGAATGAGAGAAGAAAAGACAGAAGAGGGAGGGAAGGGAATTAAAAAAGAAAAAAGAAACAAGCTGTAGTATGTACATGGACCCAGTTCCCAAGATGACTGTAAACTGCATATACTGCAAATATGTATTATTAAAAGAAAAAAGTGGAATGTACTCAGATTTAAAAATTAAAGGTTATTTTATGAACATAAGCATTTGTGAATAAGAAATTTTTAGTTGAAAGGTTCAAGAAGTAAAAATGAGAAGACAAAACTACCCACAAAGCACACTGTAAGGTGTGTAATTTATATTAATAAATATACAGATTGATTAAAAATTAGAATGTGATACCAGAAATAGCCTTCTGCCAGTTACTGTTGCTGTTTAACAGACCACTCCAGCACTTAGTGGGACAAGACACTTGTTCCGTTGTGCTCATGGCTTGTGTCTGCTCCATGTTGCCTCAGGTCACAGCCAGGGCCTTGGTTCTTCTGCAGTGTCGTCACTCACTGGGACTGAGTGCATGGCTGCGTCTTCTGTCTTTCTGGAGCACCTCACCTACGCATTACCTGTGGCCATTCCAAGTGGCCTGGAATAATGGAGTCTCAGCCTGGTACCTCACGGTTCAGATGTGATTGTTCTACTGGCTAAGTTGGAAGCTGTGTTGAGCTAGCCTAGAGATAAAGATGTATCATCTCTGACATACTTAGGGAGGAAGCATTCTCAAGTCCATCCGAATTCAAGAGAAGAGAATGAGACTACCTTTGATTCTGAGGGGCTAGGGAGGTAGTAAGATCACATTGTAGAAGCAGCTATGGGATGATAGATGCTGTCACAGCCATCTTGATAAGTACAATCTGCCATAGTCAACAAAAAGCAAAGTAATGGGCACACTTGGAGCTCTAATGTCCTTACCTTAACTTTCTTCTCACTTTATACATCCTACTTCCATCACTATGGTGCTTTCATGTTCATTTTCTTGGATTGTTTCTTTTAACTTTATCTAAGTTTTATCCACATAGTCTTCTTAATGCAGTCCTGTGTCACTCGTATGGACTTCACTTCTCTGTGTGTCTCACCTGTGTCTGAGCTTTCCCAGTACTTTCTCCATGGAAGGGATTCTGAGCCTTCTGGGGCAAGGGTGGGGGGAGGCTGTGAATATTTATGGAGTGCTGACTGTGGTCCAGGTTTCACATGTGTTGACTCATTTAACCATTGTGACAGTCTGATGAAGTGGATTCTGTTCTGGTCTTTATTTTACATTTGAGGAAGCTGGGGAAGGTCGATATCCTACCCAGGTCAGGAAAACAGGCATGCAAGCCACACGGTCTAGCCCTGATTACATACTCTTGTCAACTTCACTGAACTGCCTGATGTGCTCATGAGAATTTGTGAATATAAGCAGTGGTGTATGCTGCTTCTGTATTTATTTGAGTTTAGAACACTGTACATGTTAACCCTATTATATAGCATTGGCAGTTCTTTATACTATATTAACATAGAATTCCCTGTTAAATCTTTTCACAAGGTTATTAAATGTCATTAATTCAGTTTTATAGAGCTGATAAATCTTTTTTTGGTTTTTTTTTTTTTGTACTGGGGTTCGAACTCGGGTCCTTGCGCTTGCAAGGCAGGCCTCAGAACTGCTGAGCTATATCCCTGGCTAGCTGATAAATCTTACTTAGAATCTTTTAAAAAATGACTGATACAGCTGCCATTAAAAATTAATAGACAGTTCCCAAGAAAAAAAGAGGGTGCTTCCTGTCATGTTTCAGAATACCAAAGTAAGGAGCAGGCTTGTTTCCAAGTTCATTTGAAGTCAGCTGTGTGGAACTTCATTGCTGTGGGAAAATATTATATATTATACTAAACTTAGTATTTAGGGTTTTAAACTTGACCAAAGCAAAGCATTTAATTTACAAATAGAATGGTATTTTGATGTTGGGACAGAACGAATTAAGTGACACTAGCTTACCTGTGTTCATTTGCTGAATGTAGAATACTGGATAGCAATGTACTTTTGTCAAAACAGGGTTCTTATGTGGGCATCAGGGACATGGGAGCCTTCTGTAGCAGTGGGGGTAGAAACTTTCTCCCTGTCTCTTCCTTCCTCACATCTTTGCCATCCTCCTGTGTGGAGCACTCCTTTAGCTTAAACAGTGTTTGCCAGGTGTTCCTGTGAACATGCATGGTGGGCCTGTTGGCTTGGGTCCAGCCTAGGGGCCTCCCAAGATGAAGAAGTCCTAGAGGTGGGGGAATTCTAGTTGTGCCTTTTGCTTTTATGTGGTAAGTCTCAAAAATGCCTTCTGCCTCCCTTTCAGCTGCAGCTGCTCTATGTTGCTTTCCTTTGCCTTACCTTGGCACTGTATTTGTGTATATAAAATACAACTCAAGTACAGAAACATTTATTAAAATGTTTGGTTTATCCAGTAATTGGCAAAGCAGACACCTGTATAAGCACCTCGAGGACAAACAGTAGAGCATCCTCAGAACTCAGCTCCCCAGTGTGCTCCTCCACTAGCTAGGCTCCCTTCCTGCCCCTGCTACCACTTTAATTCCTTTTATGGAAATAATTTATTACTTTTTCATATAATTTTATCACCTTTGTTGTGTCCCCATTTGACCTCTTAAATTTTACATAGAGAGAAGCACAGTAATTCTGTGTATTTGTTTCTTGCTTCTTTTGCTCAGTATGTTTTCAAGATTCATGTATGTTGTCACTTATAGATGCAATTCATTTTTGTTGCTGTGTGGTGTCCCATTGTATTTGTTTTCTAGGGTTGCCATAACAAAATATCAAAGACTAGGTGACCTAAGCAGTATAAATTAACTTGCTCATAGTTCTGGAGGCTGCAAAGTTCAGGACTAAGGAAGATGTCAGTAGTGCTGGTTTCATCTTGAGACCTGTCTCCTTGACTGGTATATGGCCATCTTCCTCCACCATTTTCATGTAATTTATCTCGTAGGTGTGTTAATGTCCTCTTTTCTTCTCATATAATTATACCAGCCATGTAAGATCAGGGTCCACTCATAGGACCTCATTTTACCATTTTTTGCAGGACTCTATCTCCAAATGTAGTCATATTCTGAAGTACTAGGAGTTAGGACTTCAGCAGGTTAAGAATTTAGGGGGAACATACTTCAGCCCATAATAGCCATTTTGCGATTATATTACAATTTATCTATCATATTATTTGCTGGATGTTTTGATTTTTTTTTTCTTTTTTTGAGGATTGAACCCAGAGCCTGCACATTGAGCACTGAGCTTACATCCCAACGCTTTTATTGCTTTTTATTTTGAAACAGGGAATTGTACAGCCTGGATTTGTACTTGTAATCCTCTCTCCACAGCCTCCTGAGTAACTGTAATGAATGATGATAATGTAAACATTCTTATACATGTATGTATAATGGTGAAAATGTCAGAGTTTCTTTAAGGCCAGTATGGAGTATTTCATCTTAGGAGTAAATCTCTAGACCATGTCACATAGTTGCACTATTAATAGATAAATACAGTATGTTTTCCAAAGTGGTTGTTCCACTTTACACTCCTACTAGAAGTGTATGAGAATTGCTGTTTCACATTTTTTCAATATCTGTTATTGCCAGACTTTAAAATTTATACCAATCAAGTGGTATGCATTGTTTATCTTATTGTGGTTTATGTTGCATTTCCTTTATTTTTAAATAATTTGAATATCTTTTCCCTTTTTACATTGGCCATTTGGATTTTGTAATATATCTATTCAAGTCTTATGCCCAAATTTCTATTGAGTAGTCTTTTACTTACTGATTTGTGAGAGTTCTCAAGTCCTTTGTTATATGTTTCTTGTACTCTATAGTTTGTCTCTTTTCACACTATTTGCAGTGTCTTTTGATAAACGGAAGTTCCTAGTTTAAATGTGATCACTTTATCAGTCTTTTCCTTTGTAATGCATGTATATCGTGAGAATATTTCCTGAAGTCACTAAGTTATTTCCCTGAATTCTCTTCTAAAATGCTTATAATTTTTACGTTATATGTTTAGATGTGATGTATTGGCACTGATTAATGTTTTAAAACCTATGAGTGTAGAATTTGTTTCCTTTTTTCCCTGTGGGTGGTTAGTTGTTTCGGCATAGTTTAAAGCCCCAGCATCACACGCCTTAGATCTAGCCACTCTGAAAAACCTCGCCTATGACCATATGAGACGCGTGAGCTGGGGGTGGCACATCTGGATACAAGCCATAACAACTACTGGTGAGAGTCCTAGAAACTCTCCTGCATCATATTAAATGATGAGCAGAGTAATTCATGTAAGTTATACTCCAGCAGTCTAGTTTTTGTAAAATTAGGCCAGTATTTTTTTTTATTAGAAGGATTTAATGGGAAAAAATTTTACCAGCCGTTCTTCATACAAAGGTTGACTATCTAGAATATATAAAGAACTAAAAAAAATCAGACCCCCCCAAATATAAAGACCCAGTTAAAAAATGAACATCTGAAGTAAACAGATATTTTCAGACAAACAAGTAAAAGCAGCAAATAAATATATGGAAAAATGTTCAGCATCACCAGCCATTTGAGAGATGCAGATGAAAACAACACAGATTCCACCTCACCCCAGAAAGAATGGCTGCTGTCAAGAAATAAACCAGTAGCAATGCTGGTGGGCTTGTGGAGAGAAAGGAACACTTCTCCATTGTTGTTGATAATGTAGACTGAATGTAACCACTGGAACTCAATATGGAGATACCTCAGAAAACTAGGATTAGAGGTCTCATTTCATCCCTCTGTGGGGTATCTTTCCAAAAGAATTAAAAGAATCATTCCACAGTGATACATGCGCACCTATGTTTATAGCAGTGCAGTTTGTAATAGCTAAAACTTGGAAACAGCCCAACTGCTCATGAACTGGAGACTGGATAGAGAAGATGTAGTTTTTCTATAAAATGGAGTACTACTTAGCCATAAAGAACAAGTAACTAGAGACATTTATAGCTAAATGCATGCACATTGAGCCTATACTCTTAAGTGAAATAAATAACACAATATGTGTAAATACCTAATAATTTCTTTGGCATGAAAAATTTAAAGTGTAAATAAGGTTCAAATTTTATAATTGATAATGTGAAATAGGAAGAAAAGGTCTAAAGGAGTAGGGGAAGTGGGATGGGTAGGGGAAAGGAAAGAATAGAAAAGAAAAAATATGAGAAAAGGAAATAAAGTCTTTGTAAATAGGGAAGGGCTGAAGAGGTGGTGGAGAGAAGGCAGGAGAATGTGGAAAAATATAAGAACCAAGATACATCATGTAAAAGTTCAAGATCCCAAAGATGAATATAACTGTACTGTATACCTAAAAAGTACCAGTAAACTTAATGAAAAAAAAAAAGGATTTATGCTACTTGAGCACACTAATATATTTTCATAGAGGATCTGTGCTGTTTTGTTCTCATAGCAGGTTATCCTCACTGTCTATAAGGAAAACTGAGTTTTGTATCAATTGTTAGTTATTGCAGCAAAGACACGTAAGTTAAGTGATTCCATGGGCTATGCAGTGAATTGGCAGTAGTGGTGGATTCATAGTTATTGACTCATCTTTGCATTGCTCTTTTTTTTCCTGAGTGTTAATACATGATTTCCCAGTAAAATGGTTTGATAAAACAACTAAAAATCTTCTTACAGCAAAAGGAAGAGCTGAACTTCTGAAGATCAATCTTCGTGAAGTCGAATTAGATCCTGATATACAGCTGGAAGACATAGCAGAGAAGATTGAGGGCTACTCTGGGGCGGATATAACTAATGTTTGCAGGTATTTCTTTAATGAGCTGTGATCTTAGACATTAAATGTAAATTTTACAGACTGGTCTTAAAGTCATTGAGTTAGACTCATTCTTTTGACTTTCCTATTTGTATAATTCCCTTTCTTCTGTATAACTTCATTGATCACTGTTAGATAAATAATTCCATAACAAGACTTATATTTTTGATCCATTGATTTTTAACTTGGTAATAGAGACATGAACCTATGGTTAATTTAGTTCTGTGTTAGAGCTGCCTGTATCAGCATACAGTAATGCATTTTAGCATTGGTCAATATTATTTGTCCACATGCAGATGAACAAGGTTGATCAATTTAAGCTGTGGAAGAAATACACATTTTAAAATATTTCCTTTTTTAATTTAATGACATAATGTTTAGACAGTTTGCATCACTCAATAAAGAGGATTTTTTTCTTTTACTTAATATTTTTTCTAACTGAAATTAACTTCAGTGGCCTTTCTTTAGTGGCCCAACATCTGTTTTTCTCATTTTTTTTGCTGGTATTTTTCCTATGTGTATCCAAGTTTAGTGGTATACAACAAACTCACATCAATGTAGTAAAGCACTTAAAAATTTGAAGGATTGGTTGGCCTTCCTAGTAGCTCTTTCATGAGCATCAATCATTTTTGTCTTGCAGACCTTCATATTTATTTGCACAGGTCTAACAGAGATGCAAATGGAATCAGGAGAGATCTTTATTGCCTATAGATAGTTCTTGTGGGGAATTCATGTCCACTATATATAGATACGTTTTGTTCTAGAGAGGAGTTCCTGCCTTTGTCCCCACTAATTAGGTTTAGAGAAACTTGTACATGCTTTGAATTATCTTAACATTAGCCATGTGTTTATTTATGTTTACATTTTAGTACTTCAGACTTTGACTTCAGTTTCCTAAACTCCTGGGTTGTTTTTGAGGCATAGACAAGGAAAATAAAATTCACTACTATCTCAGCTCATTAACTAGATTTTTATGATCCATTAACTGTACATTTCATGTTTTAAGTGTTTTTGCATTCTGTTTAACTTCCCCTGAACCCTCAGGAAGTCTCTGAAGTAGAAATTCTAAGCAGTATAATAAAAACATATAATCTTTTGAATGCTTTCCTCATAATTTTGTAATAGTTGAGAATGTTGAAAACAACTTATAAATGTTACTGTTGTCTGATTTTGGTATATTTTCAGGGATGCTTCTCTAATGGCAATGAGGCGACGTATCAATGGCTTAAGTCCAGAAGAGATCCGTGCCCTTTCTAAGGAGGAACTTCAGATGCCTGTTACCAAAGGAGACTTTGAGTTAGCTCTTAAGAAAATTGCTAAGTCTGTTTCTGCTGCAGACTTGGAGAAATACGAAAAATGGATGGTTGAATTTGGATCTGCCTGAGTTTTTGTTAGCTCTTTCATTTCTGGCATTTTTGTTTATAAAATGTGAAGAGATTCCTGAAATTTGTTTTAAAACAGGTTTGGGGTTTTTCTTTGGAAATATTGGAAAAAAATCTAAAACTACAATAAAACTAAATATAGATGAGAAATGTAGAGTCTAGCTGGGCATGGTAGTGTGTGCATATAATTCCATCTATACAAGAGATTGGAAGCCAGCCTTGTATACATAGTAAGACTCTTATCTCAAAAAACATGAAAAACCTTGACAGGGAGTCTGATGGTCTCCCTCTCCTTCCATATACTTGCATATACACCCAAAGCAGTATAGCAGGGAGGCTGAAGAAGGTAGCAGTTTATTGTTTTAGGAACTTGTTTACAAAAAGTTTAGGTGAATCTGTTTCTCACTTGAATTTGTTGGCTTTTGTTTTTGTTTTCAATTCTTTGCTCTATGAACATGAGGTCCCTATGTATCTTGGTCTTCAACAGCAGACCTGCGTTTGTGTCAAATTGATCAATTGTTGTTATGAAAACAACAACTTTGCTACTTAAAGCTTTAGAATTCATTTCTTACTGAATCTAACATATGGGTAAAATAGTTACTCTTCCCTTCCTCATCATTTCTTCTATTAGCTGTTTTATTATTTCTTCAAGATTGCATTAGAAATACTTCATTATTAGACCTCTGAATTTAATTTCATTTTTCTTTCAATATGGTCAAATAGATATAGCCATTAAATCTTTAAGCTCCAAAACTAATTTTTATTGAATGCTACTTCAGTATTTAAGATACATACACATGCTTTGTCATTCTAAACAAGTTCACCTTCTGTGCGAAATGCAAAACAAAATCTTTATAGTTTTCCAAACAGCCTGTTTAACAGAAATTTGAAAATTTTCAGCATTTGTGTACACAGTAAGATTAGAATAGAAATCCTGTGTACTTACTCAGTTCAGCATGAATTAGGCAGTAGAAAGGACGCAGGAAAGGTAAATAGCATGTATCTAATCACAAATAGAGTATCCTGACACTTTATAATTAAATTATATTTATACTATTTGGATTATTAGGCATTCTGTGCTTTAATGATAAGGTTTTTAAAATTTTTTATTTATTGGCATCCTGAATTCTCAGTTTTGGATAACATCAACTGGCTTAAAAACTGAACAGTAGTACAGCTTATAGACATTTGTAAAAAGTGTCTGTTAGTATCTTACTGAAGAGATTTAATAGTCTTTCTTTTCTTACTAAGAACTCTTGTTGCCTTTTGTTTTTAGATAACTTAATTCTAACTCCAGTATTCATCTGATGCTATAAATTGCTCTTTTTCCTTTGAGAGATTGTAAGACCAGATTATAGGTATCGTGATTGTATTGTAATTGAACTAATTCATCTTCGAGAATTGAAATGAGCAAAGTTCCTGTTTATTCATAAACTTTTAAAATAAGTATTTCCACTAAAATTATTTTCAAACTCATGTCAGCCAGTAGTGTATTTTTTCCCTAGATTCTTAGGCATAACCATTAAAGCATTAGTGTTGTGATTGTTAAAACTTTTCTGTAAAATTTAAGTTGATTAGTAGGACTTTTCTGAGTTTTACAATATTTATTTTAGCACGCATTCAATTTTTTTTCTGACGTCTTCCTCAATAATGACATGGTAATTATGATTCTTTCATTACCAGTTAAGCAGTGTTTGAGAATTCAGGCTTCCTGGAAGTTTTACTATTACTCTCTAGGGTAGTAACATGTGCTTTTTTATTTCCTTCATATCTCATTTTGTTCTACCAGTGGATAGAGAAGGCTTTTTATACCTTAAACCTCCTGAAGAAGCTTAAAGAGATCCCTCAGTTGTTCATTCTGTCTAACCTACAGCTGTCTTTATTGCAAAAGACATTGAGTTGTTTTACCCAGAATGAGATATAATTGTTTTGCAGTTTTTCTTTTTGGGGGAGTTTTCTTTTTCTACACTGGAAAAGAAGATGGATTAACAAAGTAGAAATATTTGGTTTCTTTACTCTGAAAGCATGACTATTTTGACATTTATAGTGCAGTGATTTTCAGATTAAATTGTAAGTTGTATGTGGTTCTTCTTTTCAACTCTCTGATCAGACAGCCTCTTCATGGGCAGATCTGTGATTCTTCACTGTATGCAAGATATCGGTGAGAGAAACTGAGTTCCAGCTTGACACTTTGATTATTCTGTGAAACTTCTGGCTTCTGCTACCAGATCAAGAGTTTAGGTCATGTGTGGAGAGGGATAGGAATATGTGTGTGTTGGAAAGATGATAGGAAAAGTTTTCTTCAGCTCTTTTCCACTCTTTAATTTTTAAATTAAAACTGCTATTTGGTTGAAAAGAATAAAGCTATTTTAGATCTGTTTTAATGAAGCAATTTTTATCTTTTTTCACACCATAACTACCTGTTTGATTATGCTATACATGTATACATTACTTTTTTAAAAAAGGAAATTAATATTGGTGAAATATACCAATAAAGAGACAAATGGATCTTTAATGGAGGCTACAACCTTTTAATCATCAAGTAGAAAACAAGATAGCATGACAACCTTTATTTTCTCAGTTAGTAGCAGTGTAGCCATTACAGAATGACCAAAGCATACTTTAGGCTGTGACACCTGTCTCCAGTAACATCAAAATACTGTAGAAGGGGAAACATGCCATGGGCTAATTGTATAGATAGGGCTTGCCTTGAGCTCCTGATATTGCAGCTTTTGTGTTGTGGTATTTGATTCTCAAAGATCTCAAAAAAGAGACTGAAATCACTATGCAAAACGTAAGCAAGCAAGTATCTGGTGACTCTCACATGACCACTACACTGACACCTGAGGGAAGAGTGCATATACAACCCAAATTCACTCTTTCACTTTGCTGTGTGTAGCCTGATTCTGTTGGGTATGAAATTCTTGAGTTCATTTGACTTCCTTTCTTGAAGGTAAATTTCTTTGTATTCTGAATCTGTGTTAAGAATTGTAAAACAACAGCTAGTTGACATAGTTACTTATGTCTCATTCCCTTCTCCCCAAAATATGAGGTAAGTGAAGAACGAGGCAAGTTCATGTTTTCAGTGGGCTTTAGCTCTTTCAGTGTTAAACTGGTTATTGAGTCTTCTTTTGGTGTAGATTCCCACTTATCTTTTAAAATTCTTAACTATAAATCACCATAGGGTGCATTTGTATGTTAGAAATGAAATGTTAAGGATATATGCTGGCCTTTTCTAGGAAAAGTCCATTTGTTTGAAGAAAAAAAAAATCATTCATGATTCTTTCTTTGTATCTTTGTTGCTTTACTGTTTTGGTTGTGTAACTTTTTGTTGTTGTTGTTGCAACCAGGGATTGAACTCAGGTCGTTGTGCTTGCAAGGCAGTCACCAGAACCACTGAGCTAAATCCCCAGCCCCTATGTAATATTTTTACATACCACTTAATTTGTGATGCACACAATATTTATGTGAATCTAAGAATCTGTCAAAACAGAAAAAAATAGGAAGAATTACAGTTGGAGGATATGTTAGGGTGATTAAAAAAATCTTCAAATGTTTTCCTCTGCTCTCCACTAATTATTTTTTGTAGGAAAAGCTAAAAAGTCTGTTGTAATTGTTGAAAGTTTATGTATTTATGCTGTTCAAGTAGGCTTTTCATATTTATTTATTTATTTATTTTGGACATTTGTTTTTAATATTGTCTCAATGTGGAAACTGTATGAGTATTTAAAAGTCAAATCTGTTCAGTAATGGATATGTTTTTACACATTCACCTCATTAACAGTAATTTTTTGCATTTTTATTAAGTCTTTTGGCTCCAGACAACTCTAACTTTGATGATATTTCTGTGTTCAGTTAATGTCATAGAAATTCTTTTTCTCATTTCTTGAGGAAAACAAAACTAAAACCTGGATATTGTTTTATCACTAGCAGTGTGTAGGTTTTTAACATTTGGCACAAGTGGAGAATTCGTATAGAGAAGTTGCCCTCCTGTAAAAAATGTTTCATTTGATTTTGTGTATAAAATGCACTTTCACTTCACACTCTCTGAAATGATTAAATACTACTGATGTTTGGAAAACCTGAATCTACATGTGTTATTTTCACTCTCTACCTCAGTTAACAGAGCGTTTGAGGCAGGAATAAATTGGAATAAATTCAGTTAATTTTCTGTGCATATTTGCTTTTTATTTTATTTATTTTGGGGGAGGATTTTTTTAACCTTTTTTGTACATATTTGTCATACACATTGATCGCATTAATCGTAAGGAATTTCTACTGTACATAGTATATCTTCATTCTTTTTTCCCCATTCCTCTCTCCTTCTTTCAATCCTTCCCCTTCTCTACAAAAGTTTGTTTCCATTTTTCCTTCTATTCTTTTTTCCTTTTCCCTTCCTTCCCTTCTCCCCCCCCACCTTGGTCCCCTTAAATTTGAATATGTTCTTCCTATTTCCCAGTATGTATCCTCCATTGTGCTTGTTATTTACCCTTTGGGTTTCTCACAGGAGAAACAATGCAATATTTAAATTTGTGGGTCTGATATATTTCACTTAAGATTATCTTCTTGAGGTATATCCATTTCCCTACAAATGACTTGTTTATCTTTCATTATGGAAGACTAGTACACCATTGTATATAAATACATTTTCTTTATCCATTCATCTGTTGATAGACGTATGTGCTATTGCCAAGATTTAGCTATTATAAATTGTACTGCTATAGACATGGGTATGCATATATCGCTGTGGTATATATGATGCTTTATAACTTTCAGGAAGATATCTAAGAAGGGAACTATTGGGTCAAATGGAACTTCTACTTTTAGTTTTTTGAGGAATCTCCTTATTGATTTCCAGAGTGATTGTACCAATTTGCACTCCTACCAGCAATGGAGATGGGTTCCATTTTCCCCAAAGCCCTGCCAGCATTTGTTACTGATTTCTTGACGATAGGCATTCTTTTGGAGTGAGGTATTTCTCGAATGACCAGTGATATTGAGCATTTTTTCATATATTTACTTTCTGTTTGTACTTCATCTAAGAAATGAGACCCCTGTAGTCAAGTT